AGTGGAGTGCTGGTGTAAAAATGTAATGAACGGCGTTATATCGGAGAGCATACATATCCAGGTTAGAAAACGCAAACATTACGTGCCAGGCCAATTTTTTAAGTGCCCTCAAGTGCTGTAGAGTATTGAATTTGCAACGAGCACCCTGGGACACGCACGCATCGCCATCGTAAACATTTCGCAAACTTTACTTGCTTTTCCAAAGAAAGGGCCAGTATTGCACTAATTTGAAAGGAGAGCTGATATGACAATGTTTTCCCAAATGTTGCGTTTAACCGGCTTCTGTTCCTCGATTTCGTTATTCCATGAGAAGGTTAAGAAATTTTGATTGGAATGTGGCTGCCAAAACAGCAGAAGAAAGTCATTGGTAAGACAGTAATCAGGAAAACATTGAAAGGTTTCCAGCAATGCTATCCTTTTAAAAATCTGACCACCGGTAGGCCACAGGGTAGGCCACAGGGCAGGCCATAGCCTAGGCCATGTTTTGTCCACACCCACTGGGTGTGGACAAAACGTGTACTTAGTTGCCAAGCCTTAGTTGTGTACTCAGTTGGCAAGCCTTTGATTCAGAGTGAGGCTGAAGGTGACCTTGTTGTGATAGAGACCTGTATCTACTAAGCATGATAACAAAGTGATTTACATTTGAAAGGCAACAATTAAGGTTTGTCTCATAACAAGGTCAACCCTAGCCTCACTCCCATTCAAAGGGTTGGCAACCAAGCACACAACTGTAAAATGGACTATTCTAGACCAACCATGCAGAGCAGAGTGTGGAAAAATGGTTGCAATCTCAGATTGCTTTAATTTGAAACTCAAGTAAAAACTGCTCTATGACCTGAAGGTAAGCCAAGCAAATACATGCAGTGTGTAGATCGTAGCTGGTTTGACCCTGCTCGGTCCTTCATTTTCAAATGATGCTTGCCAGTGGTAACACTTCAAAAAGCTTGATGTAGATCACAAAGTAAAAAAAATCTCTTCATATGATTGACAGTTATATCTGATGAGGTCTGTCCCCGATTTTTTTACCTTTTGTCCATTGGGAATGCTCTAAAAATTAAGGCAAAAGAAATGCATGTTATGAAAATTAAAACATCATTTTGTACATCTACTCACTTTGTATTTAGTGTTTAGCAATTCATCTTTGCAGAGTTGTAATGAGCTCAAATTGGAGTGATTTTTGAAACTTATCATATCTGGACTTACATAGCATCCTTTTCCAAAATCTGCCTCAAGCTGAAGAGGAATTGACACAAATCCTACTTCTGTCTTTGATCCAGTAATCATAACTGAAATCTCAAGGTTACTGAAACAAGAATTCATCAGAGTTATATCCTCTGAAGAACATAACATACACCTACAATTGTAATAAAGTTTTCATAAAAAAAAGCAAAAGGCAAAACCAAAAACTAAGGAAAAAGGTACTAAAAGAAGTTTTTTGAAAATCTATTGACCGTAATTACCCAGTTAGCTCAATGGATAGAGTGCTGGACTGTTGTGCGGGAGGTCGAGCTAGGGTTCGAGCCCCGGCCGGACCAACACTCAGGGTCTTAAAATAATTGAGAAGAATTTGCTACCTTTCTATAACATCAAGAAATGGTTAGATATTCTAGTCTTCTCGGATAGGGACGAATAAATGGAGGTCCCGTCTCCTGCAGGGTTGGGGTAGGAGACATTAATTTCCCACACACGAGATTACTGTGTGATGGATGTCCTCCCCTGGGGTGGGATGGGTGGGAGGGTGGACTAGCACGAATGGTTCCTATGTTCCTTTCTAGTCCTTCCCCACTGCAAAACTTAATGCAGTGAAAATGGATTAAATTAAAATTAAATTAAGAAAGAGCAAAACAAAACAAGAACAAGAACAGAAAAATACAAAAAAAGAACAAACACACACACAAAATACTTACAGAGTTACAAAAGAGACACTACTTAGGTTACAATAGTTTCACTACTTACATTTAAAACACTTACTATCTACATTTCAATAGTATCACAAGTTCAACATAGCTTATATCTTAAAACTTAAATTACATGGGCTAATATAATTGCACTAAATTATTTCTAATAGAAGTTAATGAGTATATAAAACTTCCCTCTGGCTACATGCCAGCCAGCCAAACAATTTCTGCAGAATTTCCATTAAAAAATGTTTTGAAACCTCTTGAAATTGTCTCAGATGTTTTTTGGAAATTTCAAACAATTCCATTTATATTTTTAAATGTATATGCTCATTATGCTACATGCTCTTAATTCAACTGGTAACAAGCTTTTGATTATGATGTTCATAGTATCCCTATTGTAAAGACTTCCTCTGCATTTAATTCTCAGACTTCCAAGTGCACAATAACACAAATTGAAACTTTGCAAAACACGTACAGTTGTTACCTTTTGTTGAACATTTATTCATATTTAAAAAGAAAAAAAAAGGGAATTTCTTGTTCTAGTGTTGGGAGGCCTGTGCCTCCCATAAGGCATAGCGGGCAAAAAGAAAACACGTGGAATGTTTTGAGTCGGACATGTTTGTTGTCGTAGTTTTTTCATTTAACCTTACTGCGGATTCCTAAACCTCGTGCATATTCGAATCATAAAATTGATCTCGATTTTAGAGCTTAGAAATTAAGTGTGAAATTAGCCACTACACATACATCCCAAAGCTTCATGCACTCAACTAAAATGTCTCATAGAAAAAAGGAACATAAAAATAAAATCAGTAAGAGTCAAACAAGTACGCTAGTGTACAATTCTATGCCTCTAAAAAGGGTATACTAAAAAGTCACTAACACGATTTTCCGAGGGAATGAAATAATGCAAATGTTACAGCACTCAGTCTTGAAACATCCTAACTCTGTCTTCCCAACCCAAGCACTCAACCATAACAGTAGGTTAAGGGGAGGGGAGAGGAGGGGCCAATATTACATGGTCACTGAGGATATCCAAAATGGTAGCTTCACTATCCATACACCTGCTACCAGCTGGTAACATATAGTAGAGTGCTAGTGTACAGTTAAATGTAATGAATGACATTATATCAGACAACATATCCAGGTAAGAAAACACAAACAGTAGGTGCCAGGCCAGGCCAATTTATTTTTTCTGACAGAAACTGGAAGCCAGCCCACAGGCAGACAAACAAAACAACCCCTGGTTGACTGCTGTTTTTTAAAATTTTCCTCACTCTGTCACGCAATAATGTGAGTGCAGAGAGAGGGCCAGTATTGCACTAGTTTGAAAGGAGAGCTGATATATATGATGATGTTTGCCAAAAAGTTGCGTTTAACTGGCTTTTGTTCCTCGATTTCTTTGTTCTATCAGAAGCTTAAGAAATTTTGATCGGAATGTGGCCACCAAAAGAGCAGAAGAAAGTCGTTGGTGAGACAGTCCCCAGGAAAACATTAAAAAGTTTGCAGCAATGCTATGCTTTTAAAAATCTGACCCCCAGTAGGCCACAGGGTAGGCCATGGCCTACACCGGGGCCTACACCATGTCCTAGGCCATGGCCTACCCCACATTTTGTCCATGCCCCAATAACTTCCTAACAGTCAGGGGCAGCTTAATTTCTCAATAGTATGTGCACCAACGTGGCACCCTTAAAAAAAGAAAAGCTACATGCAAATAACACAAGAGGCACAGCACTTATCCCGGAGCAAAAGAGTCTGAAAAATGCTGTCACTCAACACAGGTGTTTATCTGTATTCAGTTATAACTGATACACTGTTAATACTTACTCCATACTGAAAGGCCTCCAGTTGTTGAATGTTGAGCAGAAAAAAGGACAATTAAAGAAATACAATTAATAGCTAGCACAGAAAATCAATATTTGAAACAAATTTAAAAAGGTGTTTAATAACTTAATAATTACCACCCATTTGTGACAATTCCTAAAAAGTACAATTATAATTTGGGAATTCAAGTAACCTTGTTTGACAAGGTTAGTATTTGTCAGTCACAAAACAATCAAAAGAAATAAGTACTCAAATCATTTCATTATAATTGCACTAATACTGTTGGAAATTATAAGGCTGTATACATGGTACTAATTTACTCATAAAGATCAGTTGAGGCTCCAGTGCCCACTCATCCCACTGTGGCCCCTGTTACAAGTATTAGTTCCTATTGGGAAAAAAAAACCAGGGGGTGATGTGTTGCGCTCAGAACATCTGACTTGAGCATAATCAGAAGAAAATTTTGATATTCTGTAAAGGAAGGTATAGGAATTAAAGCGACCTGCAGAGTTGGGGCTCGTTTTAAAATTTCAAAGTTGATTGACATACAGGAAACTCTGAATTATGAACTTGACATAGCTCACCGTTTGGAGTCAATATATCGCCAATTGTAAAGTTGAAAGGTTGAGTGTGTTATCACAGGAGGAATACCTAAAGTTATGAACAAATAACAGTAAAATAAATTACATTTTTCACCCCACCCCTCTCCTCCCCCTATATATATCTCAGCACCATCAACTCGGGCTAGAAAACAAGGGAAAATTTTTTTTTGTTTTTAATCTAAAACAGACAATTGCTTTCAGAAAATGGAAAAGATTCCAAAAGAGTCCATACCATGACTATTTTAACCCATCAATTCCAATTACAGTAAAACAGATTTCAGATATGATAAATCTGATTGTGTCAACCCTCCATTCAAAAATGCATGATTGCCAATAAGGGGCCATTGCCCAATATGGTGGAAGATTAGGATATTCTTGGGGTTTGCTTGGTTGCTTTCAACTGGAGGATTTTTTATCTCCTTCTGGTAAGTATTTTTGAGGCCAACAACTACTTAAATGACAGGTTAGAGGAAGGGGAGTGGTAAAAGGGATGAAGAGACTGGTGATTTAAGGTGGATAAGGGGTTCGGTGAGCTAATTTCAAACATAAAAAAGCTAACTGTTAGTAAAACAGAGCAGAAATAACAGACAGCAATAATGCAGGCAAAAAAGTATACAGCATATGATATTGGCATTTAATATAAATGGGTGTCATGAAAACTAAGACCTAAGACCTAAAACCCCTCGAAAATTAAGACCCCTCAAAAACTAAGACCCATCGAAAAACTTTTGGGTACAGAATATTTTAAAAGAAAGAAAAAGTCAAGTTGATCTTTACAACCTGGACATAGTTAATAGAGCGAACTGACCCGGAGGAGCTACAACTTGGGAGATCATGAATTTTACTTGGGGTGTTTACATGCAGGCTACCGAGCTGCAAAATTAAACGTTGAATATAGATAAATAAACTTTTTGCTACTAGATGTACATTGGCTATTTAATTCAGAAAGAAAAAGTGAGCTTTCCTTTTCGCTTTTCACTACACATTACTGGATGGGGCCTGTTACAATTATGCAAATATGATGGTCTAATCAAAGTTCATGTAACTTGACCCCGTTGACCTAGAGTTTTGTGGACCACAACAAATCCCCTATGACAAGGCCAGAACCGACCTCCATAAAAGGTATAACTGGACAAATCACAACACATCCAACGTCCCAAACATATTTAATGGAAAGATACAAAAGCCCAACCACGAGAAAGAAGATGAACTGAGCTGTTCATGAATTGTTGTCCTTTTAACACTTTACTGCTTAAATAATACTACTGGAAGTCATGCCCAAGAGCCGCGATCGGAAAAGCTGATCTTAAAAATTGCATTCAAAGTTTCTAGAGCATTGAAAACAGGCTACTTATTTTAGCAGAATACGTTAAAACGGTCTTTCGTTCGAAACACGTATATCGAAAGCATTCTCCACTGCGTTGACGTAAGTCACTGTTAATTATGGAATAGGTAATTCAGGCCCCATCCACATTAATGTGTAGTGAAAAGTGAAACAGAAAGCTCACTTTTTCTTTCTGAATTATATAGACAGTGTAAATCTAGCAGCAAAAAGTTTACTTAGCTATATTCAACGTTTAATTTTGCAGTTTGGTAGCCTGCATGTAAACACCCCAAGTAAAATTCATGATCTCCCAAGTTGTAGCTCCTCCAGGTCATAGTTTGCTCCATTAACTATGTCCAGGTTATAAAGATCACCTTGACTTCCTCTTTCTTTTAAAATATCCCATACCCAAAAGTTTTTCGATGGGTCTTAGTTTTTGAGGGGTCGGCTTAGCTTTCGAGGGGTCTTAGTTTTCGAGGGGTCTTAGTTTTCGAGGGGTCTTAGTTTTCAAGTGGTCTTAGTTTTTAAGGGGTCTTAGGTCTTAGGTCTTAGTTTTTGTGACACCCTAATGTAAATGCATGAAATACTAAAAGAGCCAATGCAGACCTAGGTGCTCAGCCACTGAAACCCAAGGAACAGCCAATGACTTTGGAAGACTCTGAAACCAGCAACAAATTAAACATGAATCAAACCAAATTTCAAAATCATTGCATACATAACAAGAAGATTTATTTTACACAATTATGGTTATCTCCAATCAAATTTAAAAAATCATATTTTATTGGTTAAATGGGAAATCCCTTTTTTTTTTTTAATTTTTTAAAATAAATTTATTTCAAGCATTTTCTTATGTTTACAAACAAAATAGAAATTAAGAAAGAAATAGAAAAATAATTTAAAAAAATGGGAAATCCCTTTCTCATTCACATTAAACAAAATTTCATCATGGTAGTTGAGAAGCATGACCCATTCTAGTTAAAGAGCATGACCATTTAGCAGGGTGCAATGCTCACTTTAACTGAGGTTGGCTTTTTTCACAAGTTGCCACTCTGGAGAGGTTAACCCTTTAACCGCCTAGAAATGATTAACATGCAACTTCTCCCTTTGATAATCATACATTATCCAGCAAACAGGTAATGAGAATACTCAAACTTATCAGTTAGAAGTTGTTATCTTGATCTAACACCAAATTCTCCAAAGTAATTTACAAGGAAATTTGTAGCAGGTTTAGGTGAGAATTAGCATTCAGATCTTAGGAATCAAAGGGTTGATTTTGCTTTCTCTAATCATGATCTCACCTTAGCAACACCCGTCTCTCCTTTGCACCACACATATGCATGAGATATGCAGGTAAGAACTAATTGAGCTCTCTTCCACTCATCTTCCGTTGAAAGTTTGTTATGGTCCAACAAAGGGAGCTTTAGGATAAAAACAGTATCATTCAGCAATTAAATAGCTGTTAAAAGTGTTTACAGCCAGGTAATTGTTGATTCTTCATGACTGGTGCTCTTATGTGAAGTATACTGAACAACCAGATTTGTTTCTTCTAGTGTGACAATGGGAAAACACTTCTGCCACCCTCTTGAAATAAAGAACAAAGAGTTTGATAGCACTGAATGAAATGTTTTAAATTTGGGAATTCCTCTGGGGGATTGAATACTACTAGATTTTTTTCAGTTCTACAGTACTTATTTGGTCACATAATCCGTCATGACCTTTTATATCCAATTAAAAATATTTGAATGGGTATAGTGGTAAAGAAGCTAGGACTTGTCCAGTCTTTTTTTTTTCCGGTAGCATGAAGCAATCAGCAGTTTTTTCTCCCTTTCATGGATGGAATGCCAGTTCAGTGCAAGTAANATTTCATCAGGCTTCCCTGACAGTTATTTAGCCCCCATTTACATTCCTTGGTGGAGAGTCACTGTGAGAATGAGGCTAGGTCTTCTTACCTAAGAACATAACACAATGACCCACCCATGTCTTGAACCTTCAATTCTAGACCAGGATTCCAGTGTACCAACCTTCAAGTCTACCACTTTGTATCAATCTATCCTGTGAGTGAAGGATCTGATTTCTCACTTACTTGTTTAATCTGCTGACGAAAACTTTCTCCCTCTTTCACCAGTTGTGGTAAATTTCTGGCAAATGTTTCCCAAGGAGAGAAGTATTCTGGCAAGCATTGCTGTATTGATTAAATAAATGACTGTAAATATAAGGAAATATAGGAAGGAGACAAGACTAGTACAAAAAATAGAGAATGACAAATGTTATACTTGAAATAATTAATTTGGTGGTTTAAAAATATTTTGCCATTTTTCTGTGTGAAAATTTGGTGAGGAGAAATCGTGTCAAGATTTTTGGTGGAGCGAAACAAATTTTGTCTGCCCAGTTTCCCAAATTATCTGGTTAAGTATTCTTTCATTAAATTCTGTCAACCTTCCTAAGCCTTGATTTAATTTATTTTACAGTTTATTTAATATGTATATAATGATATAATGTTATTAGTTGTCATATTTACTATTTGTGTGCTTTTCTTATCTTCTCGGATAGGGACAAATAAATGGAGGTCCCGTCTCTTGCAGGGTTGGGGTAGGAGACATTAATTTCCCACACACGAGATTACTGTGTGATGGATGTCCTCCCCTGGGGTGGGATGGGTGGGTTTATTGGGCCTGCAGTAATCGGCGCAAGCTGTTGCGGTGTAACTGCCAGTTGGCGAAGCTAAATAAAATAAAATAGTGCTTTATACTCATATTTTAATCTAATTATTTCAGACTTCCCTAATAGCATAGTAATAGCATTTTTCCTCTTCTTTTCCTTTCCTTTGATGAGTGTAGTTGTGCTATCTTGCTGACCATTAATTTATTTTGATTTAATGTTGTTGTCTACTGGCTGCCTTGCTCCTCTAGCCCCTATGGCTATACGAGACAGCCAGTACTATATTTATTTTCAATACGGTTATTTAACTTGAAACAGGGAAATAAAGAGTGACTGATTGCCAGTGCACCTGGGCACAATTACAAAAAATAATTCCCTGGGAAATCAATTATCAACTCGGTCATGAAAGTGTCACGTTCTTTCAAACTCACACATTGCGTGACATTCACATCAATGAATTGCTCACCAATTTTACGCTTGCTTTGCCTCAAGTTGGTCAGATTTTAATCGAGGTCACTGACCGCAAATAACCTGGGTTTATGCTTTCTACCAAAAGGTCCACGAATGTAACGTTATTAGCTGTCTTTAGCAAGTGTTAATAGTTTGGATGAATAAAATTGTGTTTTAAAAGTCTCATCCACAGTTATCCAAATGAGCACATCCAAATGAGCGTTAGAACAATCTAGCACGCACCCTTGGGTACTTTCGAAGATTGTAAGTTACGGTATTTATTCGTCGATAAGCTTTCGCGGATTGGAAAATATTTGTAACAATGATGTAAACGATGACAAAACATCCTGATGGAAAATTGAGATATTATTTCGGGAAAATGGTACTAATATTTAGAACATTCATGTCTTTTGTCGGAGATTATAGTGTTAGATATTTGTCAAAACATGTGGGAAGAAACTTGAAGATTTGAGCGTGGAGAGTAAACAAGCGAGTGTAGCTGGTGTGAAAGGAAATTTCCGCGATGCGTTATCCACACAATAAACGGAGTATAGCAGGTCACACAATTTTGCATTCTTGTATACTATGGAACTGAACTGGGCAACTGGCGTTTTTTTATCAGTCGCCCGAAGCTAAAAATTAGTCGCCTCTGGCGACCAAAGGCTTGAATAGGCTTACGACGTTTTCCGTTGTTTACGGCAAACTGCATTGAAACACAGTTCTGTTTCGAAACTTTTGCATTCATTTCAGTTTGTTTGAGAATGGAACTCTCTGAATATGGTCTCGGCTAGTATTTTTAAGAACCTTCCCGATTAAAACAGACCGAAGTTTAGTGTCTCGGCTTATAGCCGAATTTTTAGAGACGAATAAATACGGTAGGTGTGAGAACAGAAACGAACAAAACCATTCTGTTGAAAAGTTCGAGGTTTTCAATCATCTTTGTTATCGAGCCGAGATTTCGACACTAAAAGAAACGTTAAAAATATCAAACTGATCTCACGAGATCCTCACGAACATTTAACAAAAACAGACTCGTATTTTTTTTTTTGGCGACATCTCACTTACCATGGAAATAAGATTGTACTTACTAGAGGTTCTCTCTCTGGAAGAAATCCGAAATCTGGTGATACGTCAAATTCCAGCGGTGATGGAACAAATTCCATTTCCGGTTGTTATATTGGAGACCGTTGTTTTGTGGACTGCGTTGCGTGAGAGGGGCTTGGGAAGGCGTAGGAGCATTTGACAAAACCTCCAAGCATTTCTTTATAAACTATTAATAAGAATTTAGAGATGCGCCCGGGGTACTCCCTTATAAGGGCTTAATGGGGACGTGCCGCCAGCCAGTGTATGTTTTTCGAGATTTTGTCTCTCTTTGTTATCTACGCGACTACGTAAAATTAATTGCTATCCGACAGCTGTTTGACAAATCGTGTTGAAGGTTTACTTTAGCGATCTACCTAGATTTATTCCATACGATGTTAAGCAGTATTGAAAATCTTGACATTAGATGAGCACCGGAAGATCGATCACGCCAAATTTTGATTTTTATGCCATGGGAGGATTTTTAAAGGACTGCCAGGGAGGCATTCTCAAGATTTCAACTATAATTCACACGCCATCCCTTATTTTATATCAGCTAATATTATGCCAATTAATACGCTTTACGTTAAACTCTCTTCTTTCTTAATACATGATGTCCATAACAATTTAACCCCATATTTTATTTGCTGCTGTATTTTTTGTTTGCGTTGCATTTTTTATTTGCTGCGGTACTTTTTTTCTTTGCGTTTTGATTTTTTATTTGCTGCAGTATATTTTTTAGTCGCTGCAGTTTATTTTTTATTTGCTGCAGTATATTTTTTTATTTGCTACAGTATATTTTTTGTTTGCGTTGAGCCTTCTGGGCCACCGTAATTACAGAAACTATTCTAGGCTAAATCAACATAAAAACTCATTCTCAAGGATTGGTTGTAAAATTTGGAATAGCATCCCAGGAAACTTAAGGAATCTTCCAAAAGATATTTTCAAGAAAAAGCTAACAACAATATTATTTCAAAATCTTCAAGTTCAAGATAGTTATGTTGACGTAGAACGAATAATCAATGATGGTTAAATCCAGTTAATAGTAGTGTATAACTTATGTATTCTTCTATTTATTGTCATGTGTTTCTATTTCTGTATTTTTATCTCATACTGTCATTTCTGCTTTTAAATTAATGATTTGATATTTAATTTCTGTTTCTTGTATATTTATTGAATCTTTTGTTGAACCGAAATCTATGTAAGATGTTTTAGCGTCCACACACTGCCCGCCGAGACTAGCTATGCTATTTGTGGGTAGTGGTTGATTATGTTAAGTTAAGTTTAACGTCATTAGAATAAAGGAATAAAATAAAAATTCCTCTCGACATGTTTGATCTGTTTGATTACTTATTCAAGCCTGTCATTTCCGGTCAAACCTTGCGTGATTTTACTTAGCCTCACTTTCACAACGAGTGTCACAATGCCCATAAATGTAGCGTGAGTACTTTTACTGGGAAAACTCATCGTATCAGACATTAATGTGCACAACTTCGTCAACGATTACTATGTGAAAGATATCGGTGTTAAAATATGACAGGAATAGGATACAAGAAAATGTCTTCCAGTGCAAGTGTACCTTTGATAAGGTGGGAATAATTTTCCTTTTGATCAAGTGGCGATTGACCCTTATCTGAAATAATTGATTGCAAAACAACTGTTTGTCAACCAGAACAAGCATTGTGTGGGATATCTTTTGCGTTTTAGCCGCCGAAAGGGTAAAATGGGTATCATTTATTTACTAAATTCGTGTTTTCTGTTAATAGAGCTTATATCATCAGTTTCGTTCGATGGCGAGGTTCGAGATCGAAACTTCGAATTCATGATCATAAGAAAATTAATGTTGATTTCCGTAATGGAAACAACATCTACAACAAGCCTTTATGTCATCTCGAATTTAAAATAGCAAAAATAACATGCTAATATCTCCGAGAAAATAAATAAATAAAATGAATTAGTTGAATTAGATGAATACATAAGACACAAATATATGCAATTAAGTAATTAGGATAAACATTTAAACTATTTATAGAATGGACGGCAGTCAGTGTCAAATTCGAAATTACAAATAGCCGATTTAAACTTTTACAATATTATACAGTCCAATCCTTCCACATTATGTAGAGACATGTGAACGAATGTAGCTTTTATTTCGGTGAACCTTCTATTAAATGTCGATTTAAGGACG